TCAAAACCCCATCTTTGGTTCTGTTGGACTGTCGCTTAAAACTTTGTCGTTGTACCCACTTGAGCATTGTCACACATGATTGGACGCTTTTGGTGCTACACAGTGTTCACGAAAATGTTCCGATCCACCAGCTGGACTATTGAAAATTTTGCAACGACACGAATCATGCACAAATACTACTCGATTCAGTAACGAACATTCCGGCTCACAAATGTGCTGAAAATGCACTAACAAACCTAAACGTGCGGTATAACGAATCGGTGGCAAAAACCGTTCTTCATAAGTAGAATAAGTGAATTCTTCGAGGCAACAGATGATGGTTCTCGATCTGTGTAAGCCGCTACTTGCCCGGATTTTTCGGAGATTTTACAATTTCTTCAACGAAGTAGAACTGGGAGATTTATTGCACCAATCATCTATATAGTGGAGTGGACTAGTTTCTCTCAAATTAATTACCCACTAATGATAATCGATATTCTCCGATTTGAACAGCTAGAAAAGTAGACCGCATTGAGCAATCGATGTTTTTTATTTTTCCTTGTAACAGTTGCTGATGCCTAATTGATTGTAAAAACACCACAGAAAAACGAAAACATTGTTCAAATTAAAGCAGAGATTAACGGATGGATAACGCACTGAATCGGTAGTCGGGACCGAACTGTGAACGCCATCAACACCAGCTGTTGGATTTTAAAATCTCGACAAGAAGCAGAAAATTGTAACCATCAGTTGGAAGAATGCAACTAATTTGGAAACCAGATTAACTGTAAAAGATAATCGAACGGTTGACTGCTTTCAACACTTCGATTCACTGCACTGCACCATTTACGTTGTGATTTCTACAGGGATTGTTGAACAATGTGATAATTTGCTCAAGTGACAGTGAGTAAACCTGGAGATTTCACAAAAAATCGTATACTATAGATAGTAATTCGGTAAAATTTTCAAGATCTGAGGAGGATCTGGAGCCTCAAAAATGTTTAGGTAAACAGTCCAGACTGCCAGCGACTTTTCGGTCTTTCCCGGTATTAAAATCGTTTTTCTTTTAAATTGAACTCATTAAGCTAATCACTCTTATTGCTGTCGAACTGACTCATTATGCAATTGTACATTATTGCATCATGCTGATTTGTCGAATAAGCGGCAAACATTCATTCAACTTGATTATTCATTGTGAAATTCCGTGTTCTGGATTAGAAGCCCAAATAAGTGACCGACAAGTTTTTCCAAAACTTCCGAATACCGTCGAGCCCGAATCGAGCCACATTTCTTTGATTTTTCGTCAAAACACCGACAGACGATGGATTTTCTATCGATGTTTAGGCGGAATCTCTTCCTTTCTTCTATCGCTGTTTGGTCGATTTTTCACTTTGTTGCTTGTTTCTTCTTAGCAAAAAGCCGGCAGTTTTCACAATTTCAAAAGTTTCGACGTGGGTTTAACTGCTGTTTTTAACTCGGTAAAAATGGGCGAAAATCCATCAACCATTCGAACCAACTTGTCATGATATATTTCGATTTTCGTACGCCACAGACGTTTCTGACGCGTCAAGAAAGCCGGTTTGGCTGAAAGTTGCAGTAGCAAAGCGTTACGAGATGCTGTTACTTATTTAATGAATTACTGCTGAAATTTAAAAAAAACGAAAATTCACATAAGCGCCCGAAAGCATCTAGACCATGTCCCGTCAGCCATGTGTGGCTCTTGATTCGAGCATATTTAATGTGGTTTCTTCAATTTGTTGCTACCAAGTTAAACCACGTCGCCTAATTGCCTCCGACTGCGCGTTTTGTTCTTCAATGTCTTCAAGCCGATGTTCGTTCAAAGTGTATTCAATTGGCTTAATGATGATGGTGGTCTTATGGTCATCATCAACTTGCAATTGA